GTGTGTGTGTGTGTGCATGTGTGTGTGTGTGTGTGCATGTGTGTGTGTGTGTGTGGCACACCCAATCTCAACCCATCCACATCATCAGCATGTACATCAACATTGCACCCCAGTAAACAAAACTACGATCAGCCCACAGTGCCCCACACCCATCACACCCCCTTGGTTGACTCCAAGCTGAGCAAGACTTTAGAGAACAGGACCCCATTACACAAACCACCGTGCCCCAATTTGTCCACCCCCATAGTGGACAAATGGATCAGTTAACTGGGGTGCAATGGGGTCCTGTTCTCTAAAGTATTGCACAGCTTGGAGTCGACCAAGGGTTAATTGATCCATTTGAACCGCCGCCTCTACTCGTACATTTCCGCTTGCTTACTGCAGCGGGAGGAGTGGACAGAAAGAAAAATGGGAATGCAAAGGATAGACCACCGACACGAAGAACGGCAAAAAATGCAACTTGGGGAGGGGTTGAAGAACACAGCCCCAAGTTGTCCTTGACTTATAACTAGTGGATGCATGCTGGGCCTTTTGAGCTTCTTTTTCGTCAAGAGGGTCAAAATAAACTAACTCCTCGCATGCTTTACGACTTTCATCTATAGTATTTTGAAGATTTAGTTCACTTATGCAATGGATCCTCTCAAAAGGGTTACATACCCCACAATAACCACATGTATCCCACAAAGTGGCCATTGTCACAGTACCTGGCCACATTCAATCTCCTCTGGACATGGTTTAAAGTGAGAGGGACCACCAGATTCATCCCCTGGTTGCAGTCTAGTTCAGTATCAGCCATCCTGTACGTAGCTATGATGTGGGATTGTATGTGTGTCCAAAGTAACAACTGGAACTGCTCGAGACGCAGAAATGAGAGAGCAATAGAGAAGGATGCAGGATGGCCCGCATCAAATGGATGTGGAAACAGCATATTCGAATTCAATATTACCTCATGTGTAAACGTTCTCACAGGGATTCCAAATGCTCGTGCAAGGCCAAAATCCGCAAGCTTCAGGGAATTTGTTCGTCGATCGATCAAAAGATTCTGTGGCTTCAGGTCCCTGTGCAGAACTCGAAGTGAGTGGCAGTATGCAATACCCTTCAGAATCTGATACAAATACCGCTGCTAGCCAGGAAAACAGGCATACACAAACACACCGGAGCAAAAGAGGAAGAAAGCAGTGGATGAGTGAGGGTGTGGGTGTGGGTTGGGGGGAGCGGAGGCACAGGGAGA